ATATAGTTTTGGAATTTAAAAAATAGATTATAATAAAATAATTTCTTATAAATATTTTCTCCAATTATATCCCATGCTCTCTCTCTGTTTTTTTTTTTTTAGAATCCTTTTGAGACCTACTTTTTTATAAATACCCCACCTGACCATGACCAATCAACATGTAGCTGTGGGTTTAAAGGAAAAAAATAAAAAAATTCTCATAATTATACAACTGATTTTAATTGTTTTACTGTTTAGGATAAGGACAGCCATCACTAATACTCGTAGAATAAATTAATAAAAGATAATGGCTCGCATGCGTATCCTAACCAGCTGGTTTGGATAAACAAATTATGTCATAGTATTATCAAATCTTGAGAGATTGCACCACTGCAAGCAATAATCACTCCTTTTCTAATATTAAAATCCAAAAATCAATTTATAATATATTGCTCTTAAACTGAGCCTCGTTTTGTGGGTCAACACAATTGTAAGCAATAATCACTCTCTCCCTTTTTCTTTTTCTTTTTAATTCAAACCCTTTATTTTATAACATTTGAAGTCCACAAATATTCATAAGTCTTGAATTAAAAAAAAAAGAGGGTAAGAAGTTGTTGCGCAACACTTGATTTATAATTAAATTTTGAGATTTTAAATTATTGTTGTAAAATATTTATGTTAGATAGGTTGAGAACTTGATTTAATAATTTATAAGATATTAGTCTTAATTATCTATAAGTTGTTAAATCCTTATCTTATGAATTATATTGAGTTTTTATCCATACACGGTTGAGTCAATCTTATCTTATTCACTAATTATCTATTAGTTGTTAAATCCTTACTAACTTTTTAAATCATGCTATTTTTTAAAATAAGTTTTTATCTTTGATATTTTTCTAATTGTTTTTATAATATGCTACTTTAAAAAAAATACTCTTATAATTTACTCTGAACTGGGTTTTAAATGAAATTGAATAACAATTAAATTCAAACTTAATTAATTTTTAAAAAATAATTTATAATATTATGAAAACCTATTTTATTTTTTTAAAAGAACTTGATAGTATATTTTAAATTAATCTAAATCAATATTCCTAGCATGTAACTCAAATAATGACATCATATTTAATAACTTTGTTTAAAAGTCAAAACAAGAAAACTAAAATTTATTTTTGTAGAGTGTAACATCAATTAATTCAACATATTTTCTCTTCTTTTCTTGGCTTCTCTTCTCATGTAGTGGGCAGCCAAAAATATTATCTTAGCCATTAGCTCAGCTGATTTGGACAGCAGTTTTTACGGCCACGACCACAAGTGGTGCCAGAAAAAAAAAGAGGTTGTCCTCCCCTCGGTTTAACTCGGGTCACTACAATTTTATATTGGTGACTCCTCTATGTTACACACTTGTGTTACTTCATTTACAACTTCTATAGGTGGTATTTTAAATTTTTATTTAAAAATATATTAAAATAATATAATTTTATATTTTTTTAAATTTATTTTTTATATATTAGCATATTAAAAGGATGTAAAAATAAAAAAAATTAATTTAAAAATAAAAAATTAATTTTTTTAATAAGTATAGTCGAATCTCAAACATATCCATTTAAGTATAAAAATAATTATTTGGGTTTTCTCGTAACTACTAGAGGCTTTTATTATTTTTAATTTTAGAACCTATAGAATTAATTAAGACATACTCAAATTAACTCGAATATTTATATTAATAAAAAAAATCAATATAGCTTATCTTGTTTGAAGTTTAGAATAATTTATCATAATTATAAAATTTAATTTTGATATTTGGGATGATTCACTAAACATGTGATTTAAAACTTGATTAGAGTTGAGATGTATTTTGAATTATTTTTTTGTTAAATAATCTAAATATTAATGATTTATGCTCAAATTTAATATGATCAAAATAAAGAAATTAAAAAAAAATCAACATGATTTTAAATAAAAATAATGAAATCGGATTAATGGGTGAATAGTTGGTTAACTCAATAACCACCGGTCTAATAGTGATATATCCATGTAATTTAATGCCTTTTATCTATTTATTTTTTTGGATAAAAAAGAAGAAGAAGGAAACAAAGAAAGTACAAGTGGCCCTTGAATTAACGTGTCTTGAGTTTTTAACAAAACTAAAATCAGACACAAACCACGAGGGGACATCCTTGGAGCCCACAAATTCTTTAAATAACACAAAGCTTTGAAACCCAAACGCCACCGTTTTTCTCTTTCTTGTCTGCTTTAGTCCTCTCCTCTCTGTGTGTACCCAGCTTTTGCCGTCACACTCTCCTTTGTTTATGCTCCCTCCCTCCTTCGTTCTCAACCCTCTTTTAACAGCACACAAAAATGGCCTAAAAGCAAAAACCCAAATAGAAAAGATTAGTGTTTTAGGCCCAGAAAGGCACAAAGTTTCCATCTTTCATGTTTTGCTTTGGTGCATGTGTGTGGATATCTATAAAGATTCAATCTTAGGATCTTCAATTCTTTTATGGGAAAAGCGCTTTCTAATATATCCAAGCAGCTGGTTCATCGTCACTCAAAAAAACAAGCAAAAACCACATCGATAATTAAACAGTTCGAGAAGATGGAAAACAGTTCTGGTTTAGACAAGAGCAGCAGCAACAACGGTACTGGTAACAGCAACAACACACGTGTGCCTTTGTCAGATGTTGTGTCTGATTGTATTAAGAGGTGGTTTAAAGATACACTCAAGGAAGCCAAAGCAGGAGATATCAATATGCAGGTCTTGGTTAGTCAAATGTATTATAGTGGTTATGGAGTCCCTAAAGATGAACAAAAGGTATGCTCTTTTTTTTTAAAAAATCTTTTTATGGTTTGGTGTTGCTTTTGTTTATGATTTGATGAATTGGAGTTGTTGGGGTTTTGTGTTGGGTTATTGATGATGAATTTGAGAGTGGTTATTTTGTGTTTGTTTGTTGGTATTGTAGGGAAGAATTTGGATGACAAGAGCATCAAGGACTAGGTCTTGGGTTTGGAAGGTTTCTAATAAGCAACCAGGTTTGGCTATGATCTGTGTTGTCATTTATTTTTCATCAAATATTAGTATGGCTATCAGGTTCATTACTGATATTGCTTCCTTGGTTTATCGTTCTTTGTTAGGGTATAATGCAAGTGATTCGGATTCGGATTCGGATGAATTGAAGGGTGATTCTTAATTAGACCAAGAATTGGGTTTCAAAACAATTGAAAGGTGAGCTTGTGTCCTGATTGTTCTTGACCATTTTGTCTGTTTAGGTTGTATTTGTTATATTTTCTGTGCTGTATTTTGTGTAGAAATAGATTCCAAGAGTTTCTTGAGTACTTCACATGTTTTCTTGAGTCTGGTTTTATGGAAATTCATCACTAGTCATGCAAGTGGCTTTATTTGGTGCAGCAAGGGATTCTGACTGTATTTTGAAGTCATTTGCTTGTTAAGTTAATGATAATGAATTTGATTGTGATTACAGAATAACAAGTCTGTCAACTGTTTTGACTTTTGAGACAAATTTGGTGTATTTCTTTATCAGATTCTCAGGACTAAGAAGAATTCACCTCTCCTTCTTTGGGTCTTCTGAATACTAGACAAGCTGAAGTATTTATAATAGTTCATCTCTCTCTTTTGTGCTCAAATATTCCCAGGCTGGATGTCCAGCCTATCCAGCCCTAGATGCTAATGGATGGGGTATGAAATCTGACAGATGCCTGATAGGAGAGTGTCACTACAAATATTCCCCTAGAACTTGTTTAGCGTTTGAGTTGGGGAGCATCTCTGAACATGGAATATTAGGCTGAGTATCCAGCCTATCAGGGAAATAAACAACAGCTCTCCCCCCTTTCTTCCTTGGCTCTGGATTCCTGTTTTGTTTCAAAGTGTTTGCGCGGTCAATTTTCAATTATACTACATTGTGTGATCCAGACTAATTTATTTCCTTGTCCATCTAAAAAAAAGTATTATTTGTATTATATGTTTTCCACATTCTTATACAGTACTTTTAGTAGCGGTAATGTGAATTCCATTTACAATTTATTTCATTAGTATCTCCAGTTCCCTTTCTGCTAGTTGTTTCTGTTGCATAAACTTGCATTTCTTTATTCTGGAGCTCTTGTATTGTTCTTCCACTATTTTCATCCTGCTGTTTTGTTCACCCAACCCCTCTTCCGTGCATAATTTAGCATATTTCTGATCTCTATCGGGTAATTTTATCTCAGAGCTCTGTAGCTGTAGAGTAGTAAATTAGGATCTGTAAGGATATTGTATCTTATAGCTGTCCTGGTTTAAAAATTAAAAAATGAAGTTCGTAGCATTTGTCTTTTTACCTGATCATTGCTCTTCTATTTCCATGCTCTATGGTTTTTCATAAACTTTTTTCACCTTAAAACCATTGTCATGAGCATTCTATTTGGCAAAGACTATCCCTCTTCCCTTCTACATCAGAAAATACACAGGGAAATTGCTTCCATTGTGACTGAATTTAGATGTCATATAGACTCTATAGGTTGTAGGATTTTGTACATCATAGATCTCCAATAGCATTGTGGATTAGCTAGCAAAAGGACACAATGTTTATCTTGTGCACTATGAATTTGGTTTTTAGGTCATCCTAAAAAATTCGAGGAACTTTTGTATGTTGATGCTTGTTCTCATGGATGAAATATTCTTTTTTTTTTAAAAAAAAAAATGCAACACAAAAGGACAGAAAAATTGAACGAATGCATTTGTGTAATGTCACAATATACCAGCACCGTGAGGACTGTTGTCTAGAAACTTTTCTTGGGGGATAAAATGGGTTGATGTAATAAAGCAATTACATGATTATATCTGGATGTTGCCTGTCAATTTTAAAGCATCATTCTTTGTTGGAATTATGATCTATCTGATTTTTGTGCGGCTAAGCCAGTCTTTCTGACATAATTGTATCACCTTTGTGCCAGTTTTCATGCCCATTTATCTGAACCATCTCGTATGATTGGAAGCACTTCTTTATTGGCTTTAATCTCTTCCTTTATTGTATTTGTAGGGATGATGTTGTTCCTGATCTTCACCAGCTTTCATGTGCTTGTAACAACTCTATCCTCCTTTCCCCCCTTCCCCTCGTGTGGTTTTCTGTCCCCCCTGGATGTATTTTTGCATTTATACTGTTTGTTACCATAAAAAAACTTGGTAATTGTAATTTCGCTATTTCACAGGCAAGAGGCCTTTGTCAGTTGAGTTCATGTAAACGCAAAAATGCTGACCTTTCGGTTTCACAATTTCTTAAAATCAGTGAAATATGATTTTGGTTTTCTTATAGTTCATTAGGAAGCTCATTGGGTCTTGAACTGCTCATTGGGTCTTGAACTAGACAGCAGCAGCTTAGCAAGGGGAACCTTTCTTTTTCTCAACTCATTCTAGGTGTCAGCTGAATTTGATCTCAAGTCGTTTTGGATACTGGTAACTTGTAATTCTTCTACCATGGGATGATCATATTCATGCAGAATAATATTGGAAGTTCTAAATGGACCAGAAAAGCAACAGTCATGCTCTATTCTTGAGTTGAATTTCTTGCCTCCAATTTTCTGTTCACTCCAAAGTTCAAAATCCACACTTTGTAGCACCTGTCAACCATACCACCTTTAAGAATAGAAAATTTAGACAGACTGATTGGTACCGATTAAAAGGACTGTGAATATGGAGAAGCACGATACTCTAATGATCATCCTTTCATTCGAAGCACGATACTCTTATGATGAACCTTTAATTCAAAACCTTGCCTATGCTTCTCCTTTTGCAGCAGCAATAGCCTTTCTTCCAGGAATGGGCTGGGTATCCTGGACTGTCACAACCTATCTTGGTTAAGACATTGTAACAGGTGCCTTCATGTTCGTAGATGGGATATGAGGTGGAAGCTCAGAGGTCCTTTCGCTTTTGAAGGGAAGGAAAAGAAGGGTGCCGTACCAAAGCAAACTGACCGAATTCAAGAAATTCACAGTTTTCTGACAATCGGCCTCAGATGGTTGTTTTTCGCTAAACGGTCACGTAGTATTAGGTTTACCATTCCAAAATGCTCAGCAAGGATGGAGCAGTACTGTTTAGTAGGACAGGACTTCAAATTCTCATTTGTTTGATACAGCTTCTGATGATCACGAAAGAAAAAAACATAATTAGTCATGCAAATAATGTAAACTCAATTTGGGTCGAGTGTTTTTCTTCCCCTTTTCAGGTAGCAACTATTGTTATAGATTATAAGACAAGGTCTGGTATTTCCTAGATTCAAATCTCATGTCACGGGTAAGACAAGTTAATTTATTAGTTAATGGATTAATCCAAGCTTTGTGTTTTTTTAAAAGAAGACGATTGAAACGACCCTATTCAGGCTTCTGCCATGTGCTTGAAACAATATCGTCTGATAGATCTTAAGTTCATGAGTTGACCCATAAATTTGACCGAGTTCTATAACAACACTAACAACTATCATAAACATCACGGTCAATATTGGACTCATGAATCCCAGATCCAAAGTGAACATTTCTAATTTGCAACTCAATTTAAGAAAAAAAAGGGGGGCAATTATCATCCTAAGATTAATTTTCACAATGATGGAAGATTGGGATAAGTAAGATAATCATAAACTACGTAGGCTTGAGAAAAAATATATTATAATTATAATTATATTATAATTTTATAGCTTATTATTAACATTTACTAAAAAGCTTTGGTAATTTACTGTTGCAATGAACAATGAAATACCAGGTTATTTTTACCTTGGTTTTTAAAAATTTTCAAGATTTTTTTATTTCAAACTTATTTTTAATTTTATTTTTCAACATTGAGTTTATAGAAAATTAGAATTCATAATTTATTTTGATTTATTTTTTATGAAGTTATATCAACCTTATTATTCAGGTCGCGAGTTCTGCGGGTTAATTATATTGACTCAGTTTATTTTTATTGTTTGTTTTAATTATTTTTTTCTCAACTTCATCCTTTAACATTGAGTTTATTGAAAATTAGACTTCATAATGATTCTTTGATTTGCTTTTTATGGGGTTATTATAGCCTCATGACTCGGGTTGCGAGTTTTGCAAGCTAGCTAGGTTGATTCAAAGTTTTTTTGTCCTTTTTTAATTGAATAAATTTTTTTCAATTTCACCCTTCAACATTGAGTTGATTGAGAATTATAATTTATTATTTTACTTTATTTTATTTCTTTGGAGTTATCTTGATCTCTTAATCTAGGCTTGACAGGTTAACCCAAATTGACTCGGGTCAATTTTTTTTTCTATTTTTTTCAATTTAATGATTTAAAATTGGGTTGATTAAGAATTGTGATTCATTATATATATATATATATGTTGATTTGCTTTCTATGGGGTAATCATGGTCTTATGACTTAGATCGTGGGTTAAGTTGGTTGACTCGGGTTTTTTCCCATCTTTTTAGTTAATTTTTTTTCAATCTAATCCTTTAATATTAAGTTCATTGAGAATTAAGTTTCATAATTTATTTTGGTCTGCGTTGTATAAGGTTATCTCAGTCTCATGATCTTGGATATGAGTTTGATCGGTTAACTCAGGTGTTTTTTTGTGTTCTTTTTTAATTGATTTTTTTTCTTCTAATTTTATCTCTCGACATTGTATTGATTGAGAATTGATATTTTTAACTTGCTTCTACTTGATTTTAATAAAGCTATTTCAGTCTTATGAACTAGATTTAATAGGTTAACCTGAACTAACTTAATTTTTTTTTAGTTGAATTTTGTTTTTAATTTAATCATTCAATATTATGCTGATTGAGAATTAAATTTGATATATTTGTTTTGTATGTAGTGTTATCATGATTTCATGACTTTGGTAACATATTTAATAGTTTAGCTTGAGTTGATCCAAGTCAATTTAATATGTTCTTGTTTTAATATTTTTTTTTAATGTCATTTTGATTCTTTGGTTAAACTATATTTTTATTGGCTATCCAGATTGTCTTTAAACTTGTAAAGCCGATCAAGTAACATCATATCAATCTTTATATAATTTAAATTTTTTTCCTCATTAAAAATATATTAACAATATTTAAATATTTTTTTATATCCAAAAAAAATTAATCCAACACATATCATAGTAGAGGCAATGATTTAGTAAAACATACTAAACCAAAATGTTATTTCACTATTCACATTTTGTGGTTTCACTGTGACTGGACAAAATTTGCTTTCGATCCCTAATATTTATGTTTATTAACATCTTAGTCTCTTAAATTTTTTGTTTTTTATTTTAATTCACAAACTTTATTTTCACCACCTGTCAATTCCTAGGTTTTGAGAGAAGCAAGAGAAAATCATTAGAAAATAACGAGATGAGAAAAGATATTTGACCATTCATAAAAAGGCCAATTTTGGTATTAATGCTTTTGTCTTGGAGATGATTACTTAATAGTAGTTGTTTTGTCCATTAAACATGATAATGAAAGTATATCAGTTCCGTAAAGATTTTTTGAGATTTAATTTGATTTTTTGTTTTTAGAGTGAGTTTAAGGTATTTTAAAGTTTTAAATGAGGTAATTTAGGATTTTAGGATATTTTAGAAGTATTTTATAACCAAGATGGGCTAAAAAAAATTTAATGTTCAGAAAACTCCGATTAGATTTTTTAGCTATAAAAAATTGTTATAGTCAAAATATAGGATAAATACATTTTTTTTTAAATAATTTTTGAATAATGTTTCAATCATTGTGAATTTTTTTTACATCGAGCCTGCCAATGTTAAGAGTGCTAACCCCAAATAGTCTAGACCAGCTCAGGCCTACCCTTCCCTTTTTTTTTTTTTTTATTTTAAGCCATGAGTATGAATTTGGCCTTTTAGCCTATATTTTTGTAATTTAAAGCAAATATTTTTTTTAAATTAATAATTATAATTCTATTTAACAAATGATCCAACTCATAATTTATTTTTAATTTAAAATAAAATCTTATTTTAAAAAATAATTACAATGCTATTCAACAAATCATATGATTATTTCATACCTTTTAAATAAAATTATACATTTTATGCTTATACTTGCAATCACTTTTAAAAAATAATATATGAGCTTAATATGTAATAAATTTTGAAAAATTGCACATTAATATTCAATGTGAGATAAACCGTCATTTGGTTGTTATTTATTATTATTTTAATGAATTAATTATTCTTTGATTTTTTTTTATATAAACCACATAAAAATTATGAAAGCGGTTTTTTTTGTTTGAAATTTTCCTTTTACAATATGGTAAGTCTTTGCTCAAAAAACATATGCTAGCAATAAATAAAAAATTTTATAAAAAAACAAGTTAATAAGGAAACGAGAGTTTTGCAGAAATAAAATTTTTCACTCCTTGACTTAAGTTATTGAGAATTTATATTTAAATTATCTTATAGTTTTATTTAAAAAATGTTTTTAATAAAAAGGTTTTTTTTGTTAAAACAAAAAAATATATAAATGAGGAATAAGTAATTTACTTAAGAAATCAATCTTGTCTTCTTAGATCTGAATCAATAAAACTCCTATATATATTTATTTTAATTATAATATAATTAAATAAAATAAACTTTAAATCTTTTTTTTCGCACGGCATCACGTCGACCTAGAAGCTAATGGCTGCTAAACAAAACACAATATGGAGTTAATAAGAAAACAATGGAAAGCCACTGGACATACACAATATGGTCATGAACCTGTTTTGATTCAATCCAAATTTAAGCTATTATATAAAAGTAATCCTGTAAAATGATAAGAAAACCAGTAACAAGATCTAATCTAGGATTTGAAATGAGTTACGCTTCAGTGAGATGATCTAGGTTATTGTTGGTGGATCTTTTATTTTTATTTTTTTATTTTAAAAATTATATTTTATCATCTTTATTGTTAGTATTTTAACTTAATTTTTATTTTTTATTCTTGTTCATTTTATAAATTGTTTTTTCTAATTTGATTTTTTTTTATTTTTCAGGTTTTTTGTTGATTTTTTTATAATTTCACCCTTTAATAAAAAGTTGTTTTTATTTTTATATATTAAATTTGATTTTCATTTTGATTAATTTTTTTTTATCTTTTTATTCCATTTATTTTGCTTTTCAATTTCAACATTCATTCAAAAATAAAATTTATTTTGTATTTTAGTTTTAATTCTTATTCTTTCAATTATTTTTTTATTATTTTGTTTTGGATTATTTTATATAATTGATATTCTTTTTTCAAGATAATCCTTTAACATTTAATTAGCCGAGAATTGAGTTTTATAGTTTTTCAAAGAAAGGATGCTTTCAATTTAATACCTTAGATTATAAGTTTGAAAAGTTAACACAAGTTAATATTTTATTTATTTATTTTTTTAGCTTTATTTTTTATGGTTTTTTTCTATCGGTTTATCTTAATATCATGATATAAAACGTGAGTTTGTCAGGTTGACAAGGATTGACTTATCTCTTATTTCCCAAGTTACATGCTTGCTATGCTAATTTAGATTAATTTAGATTATTTTTTTTTATTCTTTTTTTTATCCAATTTCATCCTCTTTTATGTAATGGGTTAAGAATTAAGTTACATCATTTATTTTTATTTATAAAAACATTTATTTATTAAGTCATCGTTATCAATTTGTTTTTTAAACTGGTCCATTTGATATCATTATCTATTTTTTATTATCTAATTTAAATAAAATTAATTTATTTGATCTAGTTTGGTCTACAACTCAAATTACATTTTTTTCTTTTGTAAAATGAATTTGGACTACCTAAATATTATTTAAAAAAAAAAATCTATTGCATAACATGAGTACAAATTCAGTTACAAAACAACTAAAAGGGCTCAAGTATTTATCGTGTATTATTTTTATATTATATTTAGTCTATACTATTTAGATTTTAAATTATTCTACGGTTACATATTTTTCTTTGTTATTTTTTTGTGATCGCCTTCCAACAAGACATTTTTTATTAATTTTTTTTTAAATTCATTATTTATTTCTTACACTTATTTTATTTATTTATCTCGATCTTATATCTCGAGTTAATAGGTTAGCTAAGGTAACCATGATTGTCTTATATTAGTTTTTCTTAGTTTTTTTTTATATGAAATTTATTGTTTTTACAATTTCATACTTTGACGTTACATTATTGATAAGCAATGTGATTTTTTTATTTTTTTTAATTTCATCATTTTGTATTAAAAATTATTTGTCCTTAAACTTTATTATTTTTTTGCTTCTCTTTCTAATTTGTTTTTTAAAGAGTGGGTTGATCAAGCTAACGT